GCGTCCCAATAACTCTCCAAGTTGCAGCTAAGCTTATGAATAATTGAACCGATGGGTGACACACATATTACCCGATCGAATAAGGTAATCTGAAAGAGGTTAACTCTGAATAATTTAACAAAGCATCTGGTTCAAATAAATTCCGCCCCAGTTTTTACTTGTTTTTAAATAAAAATATTCACGTGAATGATCTCAAGAGTAGGTAGAGTTAGGAGTTGGGTGTAGGTAATAGATGGGTAAATCGCGTCCCTAATAGACGTTTTTCTCCCCAAAATCTTTTTAGCCAAGTGTTGGCTGTCCTACTTTCTTTTATTTCATTTAGCTCTGCTGGCTTTCTCATAATTTCCTAATCTTAAACTTGACTCAAGGATGTTCTACACCCAAATGTAGTGGCTTTCTATCCATCATGAACCATATTTTTTTTTTTTTTTTTCCCTTTAACTGATTGCACAACATATAATGCACTCCTTGCCCCCAGACCCTTTTTCCAATTTTCCCGATCTTTATAAATGACCGAAACAACTCTCTTTGAATCGTTCTAAACCATTCCTCAGTTCTCGTAAAACTTCATTATTCTCTTAAAAACTTGACCAACTCGACTTAACTGTCACCTTCAGGAAGTACGGTACCTTACCTTACAACCTCCATCCCATAGTCTTTATAGTTTACGCTTCGAAAAATCTTACAATTGTATAAACTAAATATCAGCAAAAAAAAAAAAAAAAAAAAAAAACCAAACAACTAATCGGCTGCCAACATACTTTGTAAAAAAAGAAAAAGTATCATACAATCAACTTTAAAACTAATCTTTTCATGTGTATAAAAAAAAAAAAAAAAAAAAAAGGCTTTTTGTGGTTTCATTGGTTCTGTTTGATTTAGAAATTATGGTATAAAGTTGAGTGGGGTGATGGTGAGCCAACCTAAAAGTAGTGACCTTCTTCTAATAATAAGATGCCTAATCGTATAATGAGATTTAATATTTATCCTTCAATCATCTAATGTTTTGACATTCAATCAAAATATAACAAAGAAAGTAATTTGTCCATTATATAATAAAGCAATGAAAAATCTAATGCATCATAGCAGCCCACCAAATTTGGCCACCTCCTACCATCCTCAGCCCACCAAACTCCCTAAAACAACCTCCCTACGGCCTCCCATGCCTTCCCCCATCCTCTAGAACCCAAACAAAGCCACTCCACCAATGCCCACCAACTGCTCGACAAAACGCCACAACCACATCTCTGCCAAATTCACACAAATCAATCCATTTTCTTATCCAATTCAAAAAAACAAGTAAAAATACATACCATTTCTTTACCGGCGTCCTCCTCCTCGTCTGAATTCTCGCCGGCGTCCTCTTCTTCAGAACCTTTTTTCCGATTCTTCTCTTTGTTCTTGTGCCACTGTCGTCTCCTCTGCCTATGGACCACCTTCACTCATCGGATGATCCACCCGAGCGTCGTCTTTGACAGCCTTTGAACTGTTGGTGTCGCCAGAGTCTAGGATTCGAAGTGGGGTTGGGTTTTCCTCCTCTTTGTGAATGTCAGCCATTGTTTTGTGTAAGGAAGCTTTAGGATTAAAAATTTGCTAGAATTTAGGCACTGTAGTCGCCAGAAATCACAGAGAAAGGAATAGTCTTTGTCGCTCGTTTTTGGCGTAACACCTTCGATTAAGCAATTTTTAAGGGTGGGGGCTCATTTTCAAATTTCAAAATTTAAACAACTTTCGTTAATTATGATTTTACCCACATATGTTTAAATCTTTTTAGTTTAACCCATTTTACATGTTTAATGAATCCTAAGTATGCCACATTAGCTTTTCTAAATTAAAAAAAAAAAAAATCAAAAAGATTTTCAGGGTCATTTTGTTAAATGCAAACTTGGGATGTCCGAGGAGTTAAATTTCCTCCAAAAGTTATGCTTTTCTATTGATTCATTTTAAGCCTGGGAAAATTAATATATCTTTGAATCAATCTTTCTTATATCCCCATCTTAAGCATAAGAAATAGACGTATAATATATATCTTATACTTACACAAAATGCATGCGTAAATATAAACGAAATTATGCCTTATAAAATGAATAAGAAAAACAATTATTGTTGAGAGAGCATATAGACAAATTTGAGAGTGAGGAAAAGCAAGAAGTTTATCTAGAGTCTGTTCATGTCTCCACAAAGGTTGGAATTTGGAAGACAGGTGTTAAGATAGATGGGGTTTAAAGCGTGAATGGATCGAGCATCATGCACATATAATCATAATATCGAGGTTGTTGTTCTTTCCTTTAAAGTTTTCGTGTTTGTTTCTGATTGAGTGGCCAGTTCAAAGTAATTAAGACTTTGTCTTGCAACGGATCCAGTCGGCAACAAATGGACAAAGAAAAAAACTGAAATACAACTTTACAGCCATGGTAACCTGTACAATTAGAAGGCAAAACACATTTTCAAGCCACAATAATTTCAAGTACGAACTCTTTTTGCATTGGCTAAATTCTCCGCATCTTCATTGTTCTTTTTTTTTTTTTTTCTTTTTGCTTTTGTACTAGTCTACTTTTAAAATTGTGAAGTGTCGTTTTTCCGTCATATTTTAGGTTCAATATATATGAAGCGTCCCAATAACTCTCCAAAGTTGCAAGCTAAGCTTATGAATAATTGAACCGATGGGGTACACACACACATATATATATACACGATCGAATAAGGTAATCTGAAATAGGTTATACTCATGAATAATTTAACAAAGCATCAGGTTCAAATAAATTCCGTCCCAGTTTGATACTTGTTTCTAAGATAAAAATATTCACGTGAATGATCTCAAGAGTAGGGTAAAGATGTTTGGGAGTTGGGTGGTAAGGTAATAAGATGCGTGCATAGGCATTTACGGTAATGATATGACTCTGGATAAGGTTTCAATTTCAATTAGAAGAAGTTCCAATTTTTTAGCAATATAGGCAAAGCTTTCAATTCTAGTATCAAGTACCTTTTGTGTCCCATTTATTTCACAATATTTGAATATTGGTGATATGCATACATTCTATGTGCATATGTTTTTATATATTAACAAAAAGCCTTTGATTTCACCCTAATAATATTATTAGTTAATATGAGAGACCAAGAGCCTACTTCAAAAATGACAAGCATTATATGTGTTCATTTCTTCATCTTCAATTTCAATCTTCAGTTCTTCTTCTTCACTCTTTCAAATCTTCTAATCTTTGATGTGGATTGTAGTCTGCTTTGCCTCCACGTCACTAGCCGTGTGGTCCCTCTCCATCCATTCAACCTTCATCTCCTCTTCGTGATGGTGATGGCTCCCTTGGTTTGTGGTGGGTTTTATTGTGGCAGATGGTGGTGTCCTGTGGTGGCCTGGTGGTGGTTTGTCTGGTGTTAGGTTGATCTAGGGTGGATTGTAGTTGCAGTAGCTAGGGTTTCTTGGCCATATCGTAGGGGTGTGTTTGCTGGATTTTAAACTTATAGGGATTGATGGTAATTTCTCAAGGGTATATATGTTATGTTTCATACTATGGCTTTATGTTGACGTCACTGGTCCGACTCATCGGTTAGACTGTCCAACCTAGGGACTCGACCCTTGACTAGGTTAAGGCCTAGTCTGAATATAAAAACATTGCTTGAATCTTCCACGTATATATCAACCTCCACCGTTCACAGTGTTGTCATTTCATCACTAGACACCCAATTATCACATCATATATCATCTAATGTTGGCCTTTGATGTTTTCATCATCAAGTTGTTTTTATCTCTTTGTCCATTTATCTATGCCCTTTAGCTAAATTGATTAATTTCAAGGTTAAACTCATCTTTGAACAGAAACATAAGTGTATTTGTACATTGATCGACAATACATATTTTTGTGTATATATATAAAAGAAAGGATTTTTTTTTTTACTTAAATTGAGACATTAATTTTCAGTCATGAATATTTTTCAATTAAATAGATTTAAAAATGAATTTAAATCTATGGCTGAAAATTTGTGTAAAACATTTTAAGTTAAANAAGCCTTTGATTTCACCCTAAAAATATTATTAGTTAATAAGAGAGACCAAGAGCCTACTTCAAAAATGACAAGCATTATATGTGTTCATTTCTTCATCTTCAATTTCAATCTTCAGTTCTTCATCTTCACTCTTTCAAATCTTCTAATCTTTGATGTGGATTGTAGTCTGCTTTGCCTCCACGTCGCTAGCCGTGTGGTCCCTCTCCATCCATTCAACCTTCATCTCCTCTTCGTGATGGCTCCCTTGGTTTGTGGTGGGTTTTATTGTGGCAGATGGTGGTGTTCTGTGGTGGCCTGGTGGTGGTTTGTCCAGTGTTAGGTTGATCTAGGGTGGACTGCAGTTGCGGTAGCTAGGGTTTCTTGGCCATATCGTAGGGGTGTGTTTGCTGGATTTTAAACTTATAGGGATTGATGGTAATTTCTCAAGGGTATATATGTTATGTTTCATACTATGGCTTTATGTTGACGTCACTGGTCCGACTCATCGGTTAGACTGTCCAACCTAGGGACTCGACCCTTGACTAGGTTAAGGCCTAGTCTGAATATAAAAACATTGCTTGAATCTTCCACGTATATATCAACCTCCACCGTTCACAGTGTTGTCATTTCATCACTAGACACCCAATTATCACATCATATATCATCTAATGTTGGCCTTTGATGTTTTCATCATCAATTTGTTGTTATCTCTTTGTCCATTTATCTATGCCCTTTAGCTAAATTGATTAATTTCAAGGTTAAACTTATCTTTGAACAGAAACATAAGTGTATTTGTACATTGATCGACAATACATATTTTTGTGTATATATATAAAAGAAAGGATTTTTTTTTTTACTTAAATTGAGACATTAATTTTCAGTCATGAATATTTTTCAATTAAATAGATTTAAAAATGAATTTAAATCTATGGCTGAAAATTTGTGTAAAACATTTTAAGTTAAATTTTTAAATTAAAAGATCTCATACATATATTATACACTTGCTTTAAGAACATTATGTTCTTAATTATTTCTTTCAAATTTTTTATAACTAATTAAGCTGAAAACTTAATTCTGTCTTATAAGAGAAACCTAGAGAGACCTATTTTGTCACCTGTAGCTCGAACATCCTTTTGGACTTGCTGTCTATACTCTTTGAAACTAAACTTTCTATACACTGCTGGCTTGCTGAAGCTCTCAATCACTGCTTCATGAGATGGACAATAGAAATATGCAGCTGAGAATCTTTCGACTTCTGAATGAGCAACCACTCGATGTTCAATGCTCTTGTACACTCCATTGCTCAATGCCTGCTCACATTTGACATATGTATATAATACCCAACTTATATATATACTCAAGGACTGTTTGAAAGATAATGCTATCGAGTAATACTGTAATGTTAAGTATCAACAATTAATCTGTCAAACTACCAATTACCATTGACTTCCTTACCTGAAATAAGTCACCAATGTTGATAATTAGAACTTCAGGATTAGGTTTAACACTAAGCCATTTTCCATCTTTCCTGAGCTGCAACCCTCCAACCTGGTCTTGATATAATATAGTGAGAAAATCACTATCAGTGTGAGGCATGAGGCCATAAACATCAAAAGATAAAGGACATGGAGGGTATCTGTTCATTCGAAGATAACTGGAGCTTGGAAGGCAATTGTCTCGAAAATAAGACGATTTGGCCCCCAAATTATGCCCTAAACACTCGGCCAACCTTTGAGCCAAACTCGCAGCTTTTGTTGCAAACAACCCAATACTTGATCTGATTTAGAGTAGCAAAATATTAAATAAGCAATTAATTTTAACAACACTTGATTGTATTGGATATAAGCTTTGTTCATTAACTTATTATATACATTAAGTCTGATAACGAATCGATAGATATAAAATCTGAATAAGAATATGAATATGACATGACTTTTTGAATATGAATATGAAATGACATCTTATCCATCTTATTTTTAAGGAGTTAAGATCACCACAAGAATTTCTCATCCAATAGAGAACGAGTAGGGAATGCAATTGTTGGAAGTTAGGTGGTGACATATCATCAATTAATGCGCATGGTCATCTCTCGTACATGATATGACTAGGATAAGGTTTGAAAATTATAAGCATATATAGTGACTTCTAAAGCTCTGAACGTCAACCTAATGTTTACCATGTACTTGTCCCTCTCTAAATTTAAGTTTGATGTCCCGTTTGGAATGTCGGCAAAAATGATATATGTGTGTGGCTTTTGTGAAGAAGCCCTATAGTTTTGGCCAATCCATAAGTAGACTAGTGACTCTCTCCACGTGATACGCTAGCTAGAGTCAAAAGAACATTAACACACTTCATTTCAAGCCAAAGGATGGCAAACAGTCTGGCAATAAAGGCAAAATAAAAAAGTAGGGTTGGCCTACTATTCCATTTGTGTGATTTGTCCTCTAAAGAGAAAGTTTGTAATTGATAAACTTTCTAAGTTTTGGTTCAATAATGGAACGATGAGTGTGTATTCTAGACCAGGAAAAAGAAGAAGGAAATAGAAAAAGTCTAAGTGTACAAGCGATTATGATAAAATATCTTTTCGGTGGTCATTATATGATGGGATAAAATGATGAATAAACTTTATTTTGTACTATTTATTAGTGTGTGTTGATTCATAAAATAGTGTTAGAAGTTATCTTTGTCCTGTATCATCAAGTTGGTAGATTGCTATGGTATATATATATATATGATTGAATTCTCTGTTCTCTCAAATTAGTTTTTGGGATTAAGTTAATTGCGGAAGGCAAATTTAAATGAAGAAGTATGGTTGCTTGCATCGCAAGACGTCCCAGTTTAAAGAATCTCAAGGTAAGAAATCCAGCGGGGAAGGCAAATTAAATGAAGAAGTATGGTTGCTTGCATCGCAAGAGGTCCCGGTTTAACAAATCTCAAGATAAAAAAATCTGGAGTCCCAGGTTCAAGTAAGGCATTAATTTGATTTTCAGAAGGATTAATATTCAGGTGTGGTATGTCATATTAATACTTACATCATCATGCATCCATGACATATGCATACATATAAATTACATTCATCAAGTAAATATATTAATGTGTCTGGATATATATACATTTTCTCGTTAAGTGATAATTAATAATTGTGTTTTAAGAGCTAAAAAATCACATGGTCAAATATACTGTAAAACAAATTTGCTTATTATCTTTCTTTTTTGGAATACCTAACAATATTATATGCAGCTTGAAGTTGAAATCAGCTAAATGCATGGGAGCCATCTACATGTATTATGATGGTATCTAGAGATGAAAAAGAAAATTAATACCATAATTTATTCATATAAGCATTTAAATTATCTTTTCCATGTTTTAGGTGAATCTTCCCTTGTTAACTTTTTTGGTGATAATTAAATAACCTACACATATATATAGATATAGATGAAATTAAATGCAAGTACCTGGTTCTGTTGCATTCATCCAATCTTGAAATATCTGTATGAGGTATGTGAAAAGCTTCTGACCATGAAAACTGTCTCAAACAAGTAGCCGTAGGGTTCCCCCAACGGTAGCTATTAGCTGATAAATTCATGAAGCTTTCTTCAGCCTTCTTGCAGAAGGGCTGATGGAACAATTTCTTCTGCTCATATTTCATGTTCTTTATAACTTTCTGAGGGATCCCATGATTCACAACTTGAAAGAATCCCCATTCACTCGCAGCTACAGCCATCTCCTTTCTGCACTTGTCAAAGTCCTCAGAATGCGAACCATCCTCGTCATTTTCCAAGTTCCAGAAATGCAAACGGGAAAGATCAATCTGTGGCAGTTCACAATATTCCACATCATCCATTCCAAACCAGCTTTCATCTGCTGCTTTCTCAGAAAAGTTCTCGAAGAGGGTAGGGTAAGTTTCTTGAAATGGAGGTTCAATAATGTCATCCATGGTGTCAAAGAGAGAGAGATGGCTCGGACAGTCTTCTCAAACCTTGGATTATGATCGGACCTGAAATGATTTAAGTGATATATATGACAAGAGCTATCATAAATTCACCTAGGCAAAGTGAAAATTCATTTTCTAGATTTTTATGTTTGTCATCTTTTCAGTACACATAGATGCTTGTAGTTAAAGTACTCATCCAATGATCTTTCAAGCTCTTTAATTTTATACACACATCTTGAATCTTGTCAGTCAGCCACATAATTAAAGAACACCTTTCTTTTACAATTATGTCTCAAACCCCTGCACCCGAATTCTCTATATATACATGCTTTTTGAATTAGTTATTAATCAGGTCCAATCTATTGCTGCAATTGGAAAATAATATGATGCAACACCTAATGATATGAATTAATATTATTATAACAACCTCCTTACAGTGATATAGTTAATGGTTTACAATCAAGTGCTGCTTTTTCTAGAAAGTAGTAGACTTGAAATATGGAATCCTATTGGTCGTAGTGCTTGCTTTATAATTAGGGTCTTCTTGTAATCATAACAAGATTGATTGCCTTAATTACGGGATTGATTACCTTTAATTAAGGTCTACACTATGTGTAAATTGCCTCTTTGACAGTGAGGCAACTACACTAAAGAATTGAAAACTTTCATTCTCATCAAGAGTTGGTTTTTGAAATTTCCTCATGCCAACTAAAAATATACAACCAAAAATAAACTGAAGATATCTGTATTCCAAAAGATTTCAGCATATCATACAAGTAATGGTGCTGTCTTATGCTTTAGAGGCCATGAAATCAAATTGTGTTTGGGAACACAGAGAGACAGAAGTAGTTGAATAATTCTAACAAAAAGTTTCGAATTTCCCTACCTGGGCATCCATGTGTATTTGTCAATGTCGGCCTGGAGCAAATCTTATAGCAGATATGTTTGGGACATGAACAATATCAATTCTTACCAACAGACCAGCATATTCCGTATCTGCGATTAATTTCTAAATCAATAAATTAACTCTATCATTGGAGAGAACTTAAAAACTACATTATTAAGCAAAGATTTTGGCATATTATGGAAAGAAAGAGACTATAGATACAAAAATAAACATGAATACTGCATGCAACTTCTCAGTGGTAATTAAGGGTGAGTTTAGAAATCACCCTCAAAAATATTTTCAAATAACTAGAACTGTTCTCCTTTCTTCTAGCTATTTTATAATATTTGATTGAGATAGACAAACACATTAGAAAAACTAGAAAAATACTGGGAGGATGTTTTGAAAAATAAAGCATGTGGTCAAATTCTCTTACAAAATCATTTTCCTAAGAGCTTTTTAGTGATTTTAGCTGTATTTGGATAGATATCTTTCTTATCATGACCTTATTGCGCAAAAATTCCAGGCCATGATTAAAATTATGCAATATTGTAGGCCTTTAGCTGGCTGGTATTTTGAAGATTTACACGTACGTACGTAACACAATTTGGGGATTTTGCTGCATACAAATACAAAGTACAAACATATATGAAAGTGAAACATTTATGCATACATACATATGTATATATATTTATACACACACATATATATATATAAGAGAGAGAGAGAGAGAGAGAGAGAGAATTATCACAGTGGCTCAGATGATCCTGCAAATGTTCTTTTGTAAAATGACAGTTGCTTCAGCTCTGTCATTCCATGGCACGGTTTTGCATAAACAATCACTGAACAAGCAGAAGCACGACAAACCTTTTTGTAGAAGCTCCTAGTTAGGTTGCTGTATATACAGAAGAAGAATATATGTGAATGAAATTAAGCTGAGAGAATATATATATTGTTAGCCAAAATCAAGCAACTCTTGATCGATCAAGCTTTGCTTGATTTTGGCTAACACATATAAAGCATAAACTTCAAAACATAACTTCATTTGTATATTAAAGAAAAAGGCATTAAGAAGAAGAAGCTATGTAACTTACATATAGCTACAAGAGAGGTTTGTGCTTGCGCACTCTATGAAGCTAGGGTTTGGGCAGTTCATGGGAATTTATAGAGTTGCGAAAGCTAGACTCTGCAGATTAATTGAGAACTTATGGCTGAAACACAGAACACGCGTCTAAAGAAATCATCAAAGAAAAGAGTGAGATGTATGGTGAAAGAGGCTTGAAAAGGCCTATGATTTTTGTTCAATTTGAAAAAAACTTGAAAAAAAGGTCTCTCTCATCGGCAATTCCATTTGAATCTCATTCAACCAATTAAGTCTCAATCATCTTTTTAATTAATTATTCACTCTCTTAAAAGTCTCATAACAATGCATTATGAGTTGACAATAAATAGTACACAAAAATGATTTGCACCAATAATGTTATTTAGAATATAAATTAATTAATACATCATCAAACTTTGCCACACCAAAAATCTAGCATTACCACTATTAGGCATGCATCTCCTCACCATTAATAATCAATTATTCTTTTGAAGATCGGCTTCTAATTCTTGTGTGCTAAAATTTGACACCGTAGATACAAGGGTCACATCTAATTCTTCTATTCAAGACCCAATTAAAATGAATGATTAATCATCTCAAGTACTTGGAGGCTAGGGCTATATCATTTGGATATTTTGGAATTTTAAACCATACAATCTTTGCCAAGTAATTTCATATATTGAGAGATAAAAACACTCTCTTTTTTTCTCTCATTTTCTTTGTAACTTGTATAAAAAGTACGCACAATGTTGAGCGTGCTAGTTTGCGCGCATCTGCAATGGGGGCAAATCAAGTGGTTTTTTTTTTTCCGGTTCTTTAACCACTTTTTTGGTCATTTATGATTTTTTGAATATTCATCCAACCCACACACACACACACACTAGTCTGCACGCGTCCACAACGGGGGTATGTCAAGTGGGTTTTTTTCCCGTTCTTTGACCGCTTTTTTGGTCATTTATGATTTTTTGAATATTCCTCCAACCCAAGGCATAATATCATATATAGGGAAAAAAAAACCACTTGATATCCCCGACTAGTCTGCACGCGTCCACAACGGGGGTATATCAAGTGGTTTTTCTTTTTCTAGTTCTTTGACCACTTTTTGGGTCATTTATGATTTTTTGAATATTTCTCTAAGCCAAGGCATATGTATACTAGTTTGCACGCGTCCACAACGGAGTATATCAAATGGTTTTTCTTTTCCGATTCTTTGACCGCTTTTTTTGGTCATTTATGATTTTTTGAATATTCCTCCAACATATATGTGTGTGTGTGTGTGTGTGTGTGTGTGCGCGCTAGTCTGCGCACATCCACAACGGGGGCATGTCAAATGGTTTTTTTTCCAGTTCTTTGACCACTTTTTTGGTCATTTATGATTTTTTGAATATTCCTCCAACCCAAAGCATAGTATATATCTGTGTGTATGTGTGTATGCAACGGGGCATATCAAGTGGTTTTTTTTCCCGGTTCTTTGGCTGCTTTTTTGGTCATTTGTGATTTTTTGAATATTCCTCCAACCTAAGGCATAATGTGTGTGTGTGTGTGTGTGTGTGTGTGTGTGTGTGTGTGTGTGTGTGTGTGTGTTGACATTGTGGGTGGAGTCTTTGCCATTTTCGGTTCGAAGAAGGTGGCTTTTTGGTTTTTGTCGCCTTTTTGGGCATGTCTTCTAGCTTTCTAGGTTTTGCTCCTAACCCGGAGCATTATCCCGAGGTAGGAAGAGATTTTTGTGTTAATACATAGTCCTATATAGACTAGTTTTTGGGATAATAACCCAAGGGTTTGTTCTGAGGTAGGCTGGCAACATTTTATAGGACTTTTGTACATTCTTTTTCTCTTTTCTAATGAAAGCTTACTTATCCAAAAAAATATATTAAAAAAGTGTAGTTTTTTTCTTGCATTCTCTTCGTAACTTGTATAAAAGTACTATAAAGTGTATTATGAGCATTGCTTTAATATATACAAGGAAGGGAGAAAAATTTGAAATTAGAGACTGTGAATGTACATGGATTGTATAATTGTGTTTGTGGCTAGCTTGTCTATTATTATAAAGTAGCATGCCCTCATGATATCCAACATTTGATATTTGGTAATAAAGCCATAACCCACAAGATGAGGCAATTAAAATTTTAAATTGCCATGTCGGCCAAATCACCGTATATTTGTGTATACTATAATGTATGTATGCATGGTGATGGGATCATTAATTAATCAAAGTAATTTTCCAAGAAGATAATGTCCGTATTGGGTGCATTTGAAGTACTAGTTTTTTACAAATTATGTATGAATATCTTTAACATAACTATACTGAGTTGATTGATCTTCTACTAGTGCTTGGTTGCTGATGGTTGTAGGGTTATGTAGTGTTTGTTTGCCTGAGATATGAAGTATTGTGCTAAAGAAGCAAAGTAAATGGAGTATTTTTTATGATAACCCACAAAACCCTAAAAACAAAGACAAACATCATCGATAAATACAAGAACAGAAGGTATCGACATTGCAATTGCTTGCTACCGACCTCCTCACTTTAATGAATAATTAAAAAGAATCACTGCTATAATCATTAGTAATATTGGCAACCAAAAGAAAGATTCCCCATGGATAGTCCATGAATCTAGTCCCATCTCGTTGGATGAAATTGTTTCATCTCTCTACTGCAAAATAAAGTTGAAAATATTTAATTTACATAAATATTTTATGTGAAAAATGAAATCTTACCCAATTAGAGCTTGAAGATTGAAAATGTTAGTAGTAGTTAAATTTTGTAACTTGAATCACAAAAATGAATGTTCAAAACTTGATAAAATGGGAGTATTATTTGAAGTTTGATGTTAATTTTGTGACTATTAATAACATAATGGTAGTGGAACTAAATTGCATCATTAGGCCGACGCATCATATATCTTATAGAAAAACACAAAGACCTAGCCGACACATTTTGGTGAAGCACATAACTTTAGCTAGGTTTGAAAGTTCATATGTGACGTTGTTGGGAACCTTTAGTTGGCTCAAAGTAAAGTAGTTAATGGCAGGGACCCATGACCATGACTTCACTATCATTTGTCAAAGCACCAATGAGGTGTTATACTTCACAACTGATATTCGACCTCACCTAAATTGATTTGGGTTGCATACAATGAATCTAATTTCAGGATTGCTATAAATTTTGTTTATGATGTAGTCCATGGTAGGCAATCCCAACATTTTATCTTGATAGTCTTTTTCTCTTCTACAATGAGTAAAAGACATGTTTTGACCCAAAGATTAGCGAAATGGCAAGTTTTTACTATTGGTTTCATATACTCCAGATTTTCATACTTAAAGTAACACCGTTAGTAACTGTGGTCTCTTGCTTTTCTATGATGAGTAAATGACATGTTCCTACCCAAAGATTAGCGAAATGGAAAGTTTTCACTGCTAGTTTTATATATTCCAGATTTTTACACTTAAAGTAACACCATTAGTAACTATGGTCCCTTGCTTTTCTATGATGAGTAAATGACATGTTCCTACCTAAAGATTAGCGAAATGGCAAGTTTTCATTGTCAGTTTCATATATTCCAGATTTTCACACTTAAAGTAACACCGTTAGTAATTGTGGAATTCTGACATAGATGTAAAGGATGATATTACCAATCTGTCCTCATATCTTCTTCTTTTTCATCTCCAACCACCCAACCATTACCATTGCCACTGCCACCTAGCCCTTGAATCACCCCATTGCAAACCACTATCACAACTGTCCAAACCACCACCATAGCCCATTCCAAACCACCACCACAGTCAACCAAACCCCACCCCCTTGCCCAACATGGAACTTGAATCACATCAACATGATCCCTCCCCCAAACCCCACCCCCTATGCCACCACCACTACTACCACATCCTACTGCACCAAATGCATTTCTAACCTAGAAATCAAAATCATTCTCTAAGTCTCTCAAGATGATCAAAATCACAACTTTTTACAAAAAATAATAATAATAAAACCTCGGGCTAAAATCGCACCATTTCAATAAAACAAAAAAAAAAAACAAAAACAAAAACAAAAACAAAAACAAAAACAAAAAACAAAAAACAAAAAAACAAAAAACAAAAAAACAAAAAAAAAACAAAAAAAAAATACAAATACAAAAAACAAAATATAAAAAACAAAAAACAAAAAAGAATAACAAAAACAAAAACAAAAACAAAAACAAAAAAAAATATAAAAAATAAGCACAAAGCGATAAATTGCCCCAAACCAAACATAGCCAACACCAATTGCACCCAGGGTGCTCCCTTTTGTGCACACAAGCCTGCCCAGTGCATAACCCCCATGCCCAAGCCAGCATGCGCCTCACCTCCCAACACGACCAACCACAAAGCAACCTTCCCCACAAACGGTAATGAGCAATTGATAAGAACTTGAAAATACATATTTACTTAGTGGTTTATGGGGATTGTTTGTGAGAAATTAGGCTTAATTTGGTAAAGTTGCTTAATATTTTCATAATTGTCTTTTATGGGATCACAGATGTATTTGAGTGTTTTTTAGGTTAGTAGTGTTAAATGTTATGCTCGAATGAAGAATCATGTCAGCAACGGAATGAATGACAAGTAGGAACAAACAGATCGAGAATCAGAGTTGAATTGAAGAAGTTATTGAGCTTTGAAGTATATTGGAGTCTCACACTGACTAGGCATACTCAAGCCTTCTGATTTAGAAGAGTTAAGCCCACCTTAAATTCTATCATGGTATCAAAGCCTAGGTTCAATTGAGTTGAGTGCTTGACCAGCGGGTGAGAAGTTAAAGCCAGCAACTACCTCTACTAAAACAGGTATGACCCAACATATGGGCTTGATCGTGAGGGGGAGTGTTGGAGTCCCACACCGACTAGGCATGCTCAAGCCTTCTTTTTTATAAGAGGGGGTAATCCTCCCATTCAACAAGACCTTATTGGGTGAGAAGTCAGACCTACCTCAAATTCTATTAGTAAGGAGGAGATTCTAGATTACGTTCCAGTTTGAGCATGTCTCA